CGTAAACCACAAATACATTTCTTCAGCACTATTGGAGTACCTATGGAGTTTCAACAGAAATAAATTTTTCAATTATTATCGACTTTCTTTAGTTATAGTTATTTCTTTGAAAAACACCTAGAAATATTCAGTTCTGGAAATTCTGTTCACCGCTTTGCATTGCAAGTTCAACATAATCAAACATTTGACAAATAACAAAATGATTCCATTCGTGAACGCAAAGAGGGAATTTTTCACATTTTCATTGAATATATACTTGTAGCTCACCAGGACTCCAGTAACAACTGAACTTCCTTCTCGATTATCTACAACAGGGCTGGGCAACCGTTGCTCTGAGAGCAAGTCGTGCTCCCAACCTCTATTATACGGCTAGTGCAGTCGATACAGACACTCCTCGGCAAGGCTCCCCTCCTTGGGTGGCAATCTGCTCGAAACGCTGGGCACTGTTTTCAATTTTCTTTTAAAAATATATACATATATATAAATACCTAAAAGGATTGTTGATAAGTTAACCTTTGAAGATTTGTCCTATGTTGTACTATGTACATCTACGCAAGCACCCATCATAAAAAATGAGATGACTTGAAGGATATAAATTCAATGGTGAAATCTAGGTTACATGTGAGGGTGGTATTGTATCCCTTTACCGAAAATTGTACATCCCCCTCATAATTTAAAACACTATTTTTCAGATGAATCTGAGAATTCGCATCCTCCTTTTGATCCCCTCTTCAATAGTTAGTGACATTCAATCGAATAAACTCGTCACACCTGACGGGACTTTTTTACAGTGAGAAAGGAATCGCGAAAATCTCAAACATATTTAACTCCTTCAGTCCATTTCAACATAGCCTCCTTGAATATATTTGTCTCACGTCAACTCAGATTCTAGAATTTCTGATCATGTTCATTCCCATTTAGAGAAAGCCCGAAAATTAATTGAAAATGAAATTCAGAACAGACACAACAACTATAGAAAATTGAGAACCAAATTATTAGTAGAACTGTAAAGCATCTCAGCAGTTCCCACTCAGCTTTCCAAAATTATGAAAAAGCAATAAATGAAAATATCAAACAACTAAATACTCTCTTAACACGAACAAATATTCATTTATCACATCTGTACTAGAAAATTTAATCATGTGACAAATTCCAATACTCCATACACATGCCTATAAAATAACCCATCGTTACACATAGAAAACATGTATGCAATGAATTGCGCAAAAAATAATATAATTCCTCCATCTATCATCACTCTCGAGATATCAAGAGAAATCAATGACAATTTTTTAGAATTAACCACAACTACAAATCGCAATTTCGAGAATGTCAATAAACTAATTAAAGTGGAATCAATTATCGAGCAAACCAAGATTATTTTCAAATTGAGATTCCCGTTGATAAAGGAAAGGAAAGGAAATCTACACCGTATACTAATGGATAACATTTGCCATTCCAAATAAGAACTCTTTCTTTCAGTCTTACGTAATTTCCGACCAAGCCTATCTCTTAAAAACCGATACCGAAACCGATTGCTCCTATCTCAAAGAATTGTCAGACTGTTCAGAGTATGCTATTGGGCAGTATTTATGCTACGATATCCATGTCACCAAGACAACAAATTAACCAGTCTGAGAATCTTCACCATCTACGATTCTTGCAGATTGTCAAATCAAAACAACCATTATCAAACTACAAGTCTGGAATTACATACCAGACAACGGATGGATTTACGTTGTACAAGAACCAACGGCTCTCACTATTATCTATCATCAAAATCAGTCATATATGGAAGACATTATCCTACAACAAACTGGTATCATTACTTTAGAGGACAACTGTCGAGGATACACCAACTTTTTTGTTCTCGAATCACCTAACAAAAAGAAAACAAACATTGACTTCTATGTTCCCACCTCGAACGTCCTCGCAGACGACTGCTGTGGCCCAGTACTTCAACCTATAGTAATGGGGACGCCTCAACTCAAAACCATTCACGAGCTTAATCAAGACTCACTGGACCTTCGGTATTCCAGTAAAAAAGTCAACGAAGCTGAATCACTGGTCAACCAAAAATACAATCGAACTCGCACAAGTTATGAATTTGATTGGATCTCTATTATCATAACAACTATTGGAATGATCATTATCATAATTGCAATCATTAATTGTTGTCACTGTACCAAGATGATCCTATGGCTTTACAAACATATTGACTTAAAATCATAAGACGACCAAGGACAATTGCAACCGGTTATTAAAAACTTCGTTTGTTGCACCTTCGATTCTGAAGTCCGAAGTTCAGAACCTCTACTACAACTAGAGCTACCGCTGAGATGCAGGACCACATCATCGCGCACTCGTGAATCAGAACCCGAAGACACCATGCCAATGCTGATAACGCCACCGACTCGTGAATGGTATCGACGTTTATGATTCAGATATTATCCAATTACTATATTCTAACTTAGAATAATAAGTCCAACTAAAATTTAGTCATTATATAGGGTCTAGCATAAAACTAACATATTAATAAACCAACAGATTGTAAACTCCCGTTTCCAATTTTAACAACTGAAGTGTTGTCTACAACACTAAAAATCCTCATTCCATTTCACCACTTTTTCCTTCAGAGATCATGTGCTTTCTGTACACTAATCACCTACCTTGGGCCTTTTTCCTTCCACTTTCTTTCCAACCCTACTAATTGTCCATTACAACCTTAACTCCGGACTTTGCAAAATCTAACAGATCAGATTAAATCGATCGCTTTAAGAACAACAGTCAGGAAAATATCCACAAATAGTAACTCTGTTTTAGGTCTCATTTTAATGAAGATTTCGAATATAAAGTTTGAAGTTTCTTCTTATTTTACCACAATCCACCAGTAGCGTCGATTTTGAAATTTCAGGTATGAAAATGTGGGAATTCTAAGTACCGATTAATCACATATTCTCATACAAAAAATCAACTATCAAGTGTCCAGAATAGAAGAAAAAACGATAAAAATATTAAAACAGATAAGAACATAATAATACACTTCGTTCTTTGTAGGGCGATTTTTTTTCTACTTTTAATATTTTCAGCGTATTCCCTTGTTCATTTGGATCAACATTACTCCTCGCTCTTTCTAGTCCAAAATTCGAAATATGACAATGAGGGAATTCAGAGGAGACATTAATTACATATTTTCGTAAGTATCGATGTTCCGGAATAGAAAAAAATACGATAAAAAAATTAAAGCAGGAGTATAATATAGAAGGAATTGGTTCTCCATGATGGAAAAAATGTCGAAATGTATGGAAAAAATCAAATTTTTTTCGAAAAATTTTTAAAAACGAAAGAAGTGTCCCATCTATATCCTGTAATTTCTGCCCAAATTGAAAATTATCACTTTAGGAATGATCGATATGTTTGCAGTATTTTTTTAAATCTAGTCAAAAATTAAAGTTTCAAAAGAAAAACAAACTTGATTTGGTCAATTTTTCGAGAAGTTATCAATTTTTTAAAAATACACTTCAGAAAATTCGATAAATGTCTACAACAGCCCCCGGAAGGGGTGGCGGAAAAAATATCCCCGGAAAAAATATCCCCGGAAAAAATATCCCGGAAAAAAAATCCCGGAAAAAATATCCCCGGAAAAAATATTCCCGGAAAAAATATCCCCGGAAAAAATATGCCCCCAATCATACATTTCATTTCTATCGACCTTTTTTTTGTGTACATATTTTCCCAAGGGGGTTGGCGTAGAGGGGGGTGCAGGGACGGAACCCACGAGGGGCGAGGCCCCGGAGGGGGGGCCCTGGGGGGGAAGCCCCCTCCCACTCCCCACATAACACATTAAATGAAAATTTGAGAAAACAAAAGATGATTTAATTTCATGGGAATATTAGAATTTTTCTTGGGAACAATTTTGCCGGGGATATTTTTTCCAGGGATATTTTTTCCGGGATATTTTTTCCGGGGATATTTTTTCCGGGGATATTTTTCTGGGATTGTTTTTCCGGGATATTTTTTCCGGGGATGTTTTTTCAGGGATTCCCCGGAAGATACTCAATACCGATAGTACTAATCCTTGTGTTTACACGAAGGATTAGACAACAGCGGGTCTCTGACAATACCTAGATTTAATTGAAGGCCTAAATGAGCCAGGACCATAGGATCACGGACTATGCAACATAAAAAACATGTTCAGGCATACATTTTGAATCAACAATAGAAATCGATAAGTTGCCAAAAAAAGTTCTGCAGGCAAAGTAAATCTGAACATTTCAAAGAATTCTGATTCGTTTCCGTACACACTTGGGCCATGGGTGTTCAGAATCTTGCACAGGATACGAATGGAAACAGCGAGGAAGATAAATAGGAACGGCGCACACACTTGACTCAGAACTGAATAGTATATTTCCGAGCTTTTGAAATGGGGTTTTCCACTCGTATGGAATTGGACTTCGAGCCGCAGGCGACACGTAGCCAATCGCACGAGTGAAAAGTCCCCATCCCAACAGCTGAACGTCCTAGCCAATAGATGGCACTATTAGTAAATGCCAACAACAACAATAACAACAATAACGACAACAACACCAACAATAACGACAACAACACCAACAACAACAACAACAATAATAATAATAATAATAATAACGTTTCAACTATTTTTACATTAGACCGGAGTTTGAAATATGTAGGAAATATGAAATATGAGGACAATAGACAATGGACATTGGAAAAAAAGCATTACGGACAAATCATTTTTCATTAATAATAGGTTGTTTCCATATTACTCATACTACTAATTGTCTCGAATATTATCATTTTATATTTTATCAACTTTTAGCTACTATCGTTCTACTTTTGTGGCAGAATCAGAAAATTATCGATACTCTCGAACTTGCGGCCTGTTTTACTCACAGGCGCGGGCTCTGCATTAATTCGTGCGCCACCGCTCTAAATAATAGCGTTGAACTCTGCCATTGACCCTCCTATGAAGTTGGCTAAGTTGCCAGGAGTTGCCTCCGGTACCACACAAATCAGCTGCGAAAGCAGCACAGAAAGAAGAAGATTAGCCTTATTAGCAATCTCTCCATTCATCTCTGGGTTTCGTTGCTTCTTCTGAATATCTAACAGCCCTAGAATCTCATTTGCGTATCTAACGGTACATCCGATAAATCCATAATTCTGGGTTCTGTTTATTCGTAAATGTCCCTCGCTGGTAGTCATAGAAACAAATTTGAGGGGCACAATCTCTGACATTACATTACAAGATACGGTTGTGTGACATTTGTTTTCGCCGTGGAAAAGTGGATATATTTCAAACACGGATTTTAACCTCCAAATTGTCTACGATACGTGTCACACCGTGCCATTAGTCACAATAAATAATTCGAAATGGTGAGTAGAGGCAGTAGCTATAAAACAGATTAATATATAGCAATTATTTTTCATAGGCTCAAGAGGTGGAAGAGACGATGAAACGAATTCAATCACACAAGGGGGTAGTTGGTACCATTGTCGTTAATTCAGAAGGTTTGTTTTACATAATTATTTTTATCATAATCAACAAAATACCTTGCCCTCTATTTTCTATTGTCGTTTACTGAGCGTTAATATTTACCTGTGTAAATGCAGATTCTACATGAGGTTTACTCTTTGACGTAATTCTTCATTGTTTCTTGCTTAGGTATTCCTATAAAATCGACCCTCGATAACACGACGACTGTGCAATATGCAGGGCTGATAAGCCAACTATCTGATAAAGCAAGATCAGTCGTTCGTGATTTGGATCCAACAAATGATCTGACATTCCTACGCATTCGGAGTAAGAAGCATGAGGTAATGGTGGCCCCAGACAAAGAATTCATCCTGATCGTCGTCCAAAATCCTGTGGACTAAGTCCTCAAGGTTAACTTTTTGACTCATTCTGTATTCTCACGTAAATTGTAATGACGTCGAAGCTCTTTCCCATTTTGCAACCTGATTATCTCAACATGCTAATTTCAAGATATTTATAAAAATTATTGGTTTTTCTTTGCAAAAGTGTATGTGTTATTAAATATGTGATTAGACTTGAAGTAAAAAATGTAATGCAAGAGAATATTTATTATCTGAAAGTAAATTGTGCCACTGGTACGTGTATTTCTATACTTGTCTTCTTTTTACTTTACTTTTCGTGGTATATTTTTTTGAACAAATGAAAAATAGGGGCCAATGGTACTTTTTCTCGAGTTTATTTAAACACTGCCTATCAATTACTAATATGAGCAATCATAGATGTACAGTTTGCATACAAAAATGTAAAAAACTTACTTAAGGCATATGAATTACTCATGTGAGCGATCATAAATGTACAGCTTGCGTACAAAAATATAAAAAACTTACTTAAGGCAGCTGAGATTCCATTTGTCATGGAAATCATTTGAACAGACCATCGGATACAAAAAATGCATGAAAATACATCATGCGCGCGTAAGAACATTCTCGTGGGTTTTTTCCGTCCAATGAGTATCATTAATTTTTCCTGACGATAAATTAAATAATGTTTGTAGGCCATAAGATGGCTGATGAAATCGTTGGTAAGTAAAAAAATTAATTTACTATTAAAATAGTTCTCGTATAGGCAATACTGCGAAGTTTGGAGTAATCAGTAAATAAAAATTAAAATATGAAAATACAAAATTCTTTTAGGTTGTGAGATTCCTGTCATTTGCATCTTCAGTCCGCTGATAAATTTCGTTGATAGCATTTTTCCTCCTGGGATGATACCATTTGTAATAAATTACCATAATAACAATTCCAATGGCAAATGGAACGATACAAATGACAGGTACGAATTCATTGTACCACAATTTGATCTGGTTCGAGTCTCTAAAGTAAATCCAGCTGAAGGTTGCAATTAAGTTCTCTCCCGAACAAAGAGAGTAATAAATAATGTGTTTCCAATACGTCGGACCCTCGCTCAAATTGAAGTACGTGAAAATATGGACGATCCCGAAGACACCAGCAAGCAGATAGGATTTGAGATTTTCTGTGGTGCTTGTAATTGCGTGGGGCGGTTTGCGGCGGTCTCTGCAGAATTCATCGATTCCTGATGAATCACTAATGATCCAAATAGTCATTAACAGCCAGTGAATTACCATCGCAATACAAGTGGAGAGGGGTATTACAGTGGCTGTTGCAGCGATCGCTATGCCTCGAGATACTAGAATAAAACGTCATTAATAAAAGTAATTTATGCTACAAGGGCTCAAAAGTATTTTGGCAACGTATTTTACCGAAATCGACGCCGAAGGATTCTGATCAAATATGTTTCTAAAATGCTGTTCAGACCGTGTGGCATATGTTATCTTATATTATCAGGTCTGATTAAGAAAGTATTTTTATTGTCCAAGGGAGGCAAATAAAAATAAAAGCCATAAGCGGTCACTTACTTCCCCAGAATAATAAAAGTACGAGTTTATGGCGGCTAAGTGACACAAAAAATTATAATTCCATAGAAATTCGTCAACATAAAGTTCTCCAGTTTGTGCACTGATTTTAGTTTCTCCATTACGAAATTAAAGGAGAAAATGCTTAAAAATCGGAAAAAGTCACTCGTTTCGAAAAACAACTGGAAGTCTTCATAACAATCTGAACTTACTAGTAATGCACAAATGCCAGAAGAACTGCAGCCAATTTCCAACTAAGCTGATGTTCTCCTTATCCCATTGGACTTTCCTGATGCTACGGTGATAACTAGACATGGCCCACCCCATGCCCACAAAGGAGCTGAGAATACTGAGGGTTTGATGCAAGACTAAAACAAAAACCCAAGCGTATGTGAATCGTTTTAGCAAATGAATTATTTCCCAGTGCATTTGAAAATAAATGAAAATCCAATGTCGGCCTTAGAGAATTCGTCCACAATTTTCTTACACTGAAAATTGACGTGAAGATTGCTTTCATAATCTGTCATCATGATTACTAATTGCAGAACGATGTGTGGAGCGGCTTCTAGAAAGCACTCCAGAACTCTCAGCAAAGCAATATCCTCTTCTTCCTTCAGCATCTTGAGGTAATATTTCTTCTGATTGGCCTGATCATCATTTTTACCCGCACGGTACGAATTCCGAGCGAAATTCCAATTGTCCATGTGATGAAAAAGAGGCGCTAATTGGAAGATCAGAATGAAGGGCCAGTAGTAAGGGAAGACAATCAGACTGCTCCAATTATTCCGGCTTTCCTCATCCTCCTGATTGCTCTGAAAATGGGTCATATGATTTCGTATATTATAAAGTGGAGCAGTCAATGATTTGAATCTGAACCGATCCTCATTTTTAAATGACTTTACCTGGCGATCCTGTTTGATCATCTGGATACTGATGCAAATATTAATTAACGATGGCATGAACAAGAATAAACAAGTCCAGGACACCTCGTAATATTTTTCACGCATAACATAGTCTCTAATTAAATTGAAATCCACAAAGAGATCGACGAGATGCATAAGAATGGAAAACATAATCCAAATCATGTCGCATAGTGAGACAGTGCTTCTGCTGCTGGGAATGTCTCCAGTATCAACATCGAAATTCGGTCGAAATCCTCCATCTGGGACTGAAAATCCAGAGTTGGTTATCAGGGTGGGTGTTTCAGACTGGTCCAAAGGTAGAGGATCCAGGGGAAGTCGTTCATTCTCGTTATTTTCAGACATTTTGATAAGAAAAAAAAACTACAACTTGAAAAGGAATCCTTTTCCTTATATATAAGGGAGAGCATAATGGCTACCGCTTAAAAATCGAATTGAAGAAGGTCGAAAGAACCCAAAATGGCGGCTGCGAGAATATCGAATTATAGAAAATCGAAATCGAATGAAGGCAAGCTACGGTATGATCAACGACAGATGGGGTAGTTGAGGAAATGAGCGTTGATTTCAAATCACATAATTCTAGGAGCCAAAATACAATATACAGAATACGATTGATGTCTAATTACATGCATATAGAGAAAGTTTTTTTTTGAAATAAAAATTAGAAACCCTCATGGCGAAAGGCATACAAGAAAATGTCATGACAAAAACTGTCAATTTTTATTAAAAAATGTGTTCTAAACATTGCAAATATTTCAGTGGCGATAAATCCTTCTCATCTGTGCCTTCAACTGGACTACTTGTTGAATCAAAACGATGAATAAATTTGTTTGTCATTGTTTATGACTTTTCATTTGACAGATAGATGAGGTCAGCAAAAAAATCATTAGAATCTTTTGCACATATTGAACTCCTGATAAAGAGGTTTGCCCAATAAAGGCGACTTATTAAATCTATTTCGCTTGAACAAATTTTTAGAGAAAAAAATCCAGTTTACAGCATGCAGATTTCTTTATGCATCATTTATGCAAAATATAATGAACCTGTGTAATTGAAGAAAATGCTAAAATAATTTGCAGTGAATGTTATTGAAAATTTTAAGAATCCTAGAATATTATTTGTTTATAAACTTATATTGGTAAAGCCGTTGCAAATGCGAAAGCATATTCCAAGAATTTTTCTCGTCGAAAACACTCGAATTTTATCAAAAAACGTTTTTCCGCCCGCAATAGTCGGAATATTAATTATTTATCAATAATCTGTTGGTACCAAAAAAACTGAAGACTTTGACGTTCGGTTTGAATAAATAAAAAATGAAGAATAATAGTATATTCCTCGACTATCGGGATAGGGTTTTTAACTCGTGTGGAGTTTGGAAAGGTGAGTCGAAGGCAAGGCGGCCAATCACACGAGTAAAGAAACCCCATTCCAACCCACACCGAAAAAAAATATGCCCAAATACATATCACATATATGCAAATCATACTACATATATTTCGGCCAAAAATGTTGTATTCGAAGTTAGGTGAAATATATGTCATTTTTATATAAAATTCTAATGGGATTATGTTTTTTTATATACGAGATACATGTAAATTATTTACTCGAATGATCCATTTTCTCCAAAATATGTATCAATATATATATTATCACACATTTGCCATTCGTTTAAATTATTTATTCCATGTACAAACAATGTACATGAATCATTATTTATAAGATATATATGCTGCTATATACGTAATATATATGTGACATATATTCAAATTGATATTTAGATATGTAATTAAAATATATCTGAATTATATGATGGATACAGAAATAGTCCGGGCTCAATCGATCGCTAGATTCAACTAACCCATAGGAATCAACCAATGACCCTTCCGACTCATGGCCCTTACACTCTCTTGGCTTGTAACTCTCATGATCCTGAAACTCATCTGCGCCTTCTACTGATCTGATCTTCCAAACGCATTTGGTCCTTATCGCTCAAGTAATCGAAAAATCCCTCACATCAATTGCGGTGGCCACGGTATGATAAACGATTGATCGAAATAACGGACGATTATGGATCGCAATTAATGATGTAATAGTTAATTTATGCCATTACATGTATGCCATTCATCTATAATATATTTGTCATGTATCGGGTCATGTATAATATATTTGAAATAGATCTCAGGTCGATCCTCAGTATATCCCACATATATTACAAATTTATATTGGCCCACGAAAAAATATAATCGATCACGTATATCTGGATATGTGGGAGTTATGACATAAATATAAATTTTATATTTCAATATATATGCAATTTAACTGACATATATATTGAAAATTAGTCGAATATAACATGAACATTGAAATCCGCCAAAAATGTCATATAGGAAATACTAATGAAACATGTCGAATATATTTCAGATATAAGTATATACATGCCATATATAATTGTGCATGTATCTGGCATAAATTGTCAGATATATTTCACGCGTATATCAATTTCTGTGCGGGAACAGTCCGGATATTATTTTTCCGTAGTCATTTTCAAGTTTTCGAGTTTGAGAAGCATGTAAAATCAATTCCCAGACGAAAAGTCGTGAGAAGCAGTACGGAAAAATAATTCAGAATATTCCCGTTCTACGGATTTTTTTCAATAATCCTAGGAAACGATCAAATTAAAAAAATACACGGGGTGGATGAAAGCAATATCAACGTAAAATCTACATGAAATATAACCATAAACAACGATCGTATTTGGAAAAAGGGAGGATCGCACGAGCATTGTAATCGATCTCCTACATAACGATCGAGCTTCCTTTCTTAATAATGCAAGGGAACTGTCAACAGTGCATTTGAGGAGTGTTCTCGAAAAAAATGGTAGCATAAAGGTAAATAGTATTTTAGCTTGCAAATTCACGTTGAAAAAGGATGATGTGATTACTAGTGAAGTTAAATATTTCAATACAAAGAATGAAATCTTTCTACCAAAGCTAACTTTTAAAGGGTAACTTTTTAACGTACATAGAGCGGCCCTGTGATATACAATGCAAAAAAGTTGGTGTCAATGTAAGAAATTGGGATGAATTTTCTTTTTCGTGGTCAGTTATAGCTACTCTTTATCCAGCAAAAAGTAATCGATGTGCCTCATACCCTGACTATACCACCGCGCCTCTCCCTCACAGTCAGAAGCTATCTGATTATGCAAGCATTCGCTTTCCTATCACCTTGAGTGATATTTCAAAATTTGAGAAAAAGAATGATCTATCGATCAAAGTTTGTGACATTGAGTGTGGAGTGAACGGTGAGAAGGATATCGTCCCTATCTACCTCAGCAAGATGAACTCGCGAACACCCACAATTAATTTCCTCTCTCTTTTGTTCGAAAATGTATGTTGCAGCTGATGTTCAATTAATTTACCACTTTGCATTTATAAAAGATCTTTCATGACTGTTAAATGCTCAAATTTCCAATATTGCACATCGTATGCAGTTGTGTGATCGATGTTTCTGTTATTTTCGCGAGAAGAAACATTATGAATGTCATCGACAGGATTGCTTCATTATCAATAACTGCAAAATAGCTTTACCATCAGAAGAGATGAAAATCTTGAAATTTCGAAATCACAAGCGCAAGATGCCGGATGTAATTTCGGAACAGGAAATAAGATGCTAGAAGGATTGCCAACGAAAATGATGGGGCGTTGTAGACTATGCAGACGAAATTTTTCAGTCGAAAATTTGAATGGAACAAAGTTCAACTGGAATGTAATTCCTCTTCCATATATTAACGAGAGTCTCCCATCGATCTTGAAGCCACCAGTGAAGCAGTGCCGCATTCATTAAAACAAAGAATGACATTATCGATGCATGCAACTAGGTTAGTGAAATCAAGAAAAGTCCAGAAAGCATTGTCATCGGATAATTCTCAAATCGAGGAACTTCTCCTGGATTTAATGCAATTGAGTCGTACATGGAAAATTTCCCAAACGTCCGGCTTCACAGTTGTACCCTGCGTTCAAGGACTGATCGGCCACGTTCTACAGACCATAGCCTATAAACCTCTCAGTCTGGATTATGCAGATTTCAAATTCGTCACTTCACCTGGAAATCAGTATGGAACAGAACATTGGTTCGGCTTTCTATGAACTTTCTATAGTCCAAATTTCCACGAGGCATGTTCCTTCCGAACGCAGTGGCAATAATAGGAATGTATCGTGAGATGATAATTACTTTCTTGTGGGATCAAAACCTTCGGGAGTTTCATCATCAGTTATTATCAAACATTAATCCCACAGTCATGGATGTCGAGCCAAATAGCGAGCAGGCCGAAACTTCTAAGGCGGTACATATCATTTATGATCTCGAACGAAATGAACGTGACGACGCAACTTCTAATGCTGAAGGATGTCACATTATGTAAGGAATGCTATCGCCTTCTTTGCAGGTGATCTAACTTTCAAGAGCATCAAAAATTGTGAGCGGCGCCGAAATAGGATGTGCTAGTCATTTATGGATGCTCGGACTATGAAGGAGTTGTCAATCGAATCTCGCGAATATGAAAACTTTTTCTACCGATCGGTTTGCTGAATTGGTTGGGCTACAGCTGAGGCTTTTTGATCAAATGTGGAAAAAGTACTGGATATCACCATTTGTACTCCGCAATATCACTGACCATATAAGGAGAACTCTTCAGATATCTGCTCCTAATTGGTTCGTTCAGAGTCACTGTTGCTACAATCATTAGCTAGCACCGTTGAAATTTATGGTAAAAGTAAAAATCTTTGCCAGAACGGAATTCAACAATCGGGCAGCAATCAAGTATAGGATTACAACTTACAGTCGAAATAAGAAGCTTCAGAAAGTCACACATCAGTGAATAACTCAAGGCTATCTCTATTCTTTGTCAGTGGATGGTTTCATTCCTTCTCTCAAGAAAAGATAGTAGGGAAAAAGAATAATCAAAAAGGGTATTTTAATGCCGTGGTCATGAAATATTTGACAACTTGAAATAACATAACTGACGCACAACTTCTTATGACAATTTAACAAAAGATTCTTAAAGAAAATTTTCCCCAACATTTCCCAGTCTGATGACATGGAGCACTCCCCAAGACCAATACAGAAAATTCCTCAATATAACCATCACCCTTGATATTTTTCCCAGAACCAAATGTCCAGAATTTTCCCAAGTTTTAAGAACTGCCATGGTGAATAATTTTTTCTACATTTCCAATTGAAATTTACGATGACCAGGCAACATTCCAATGCCAGAAACTAATCATAAAAACTAGTAAGAAAACTCAGTCCGCAATAAAAAAGAAGGCATTCTTGAATTTCCTTAGGACCTTTACGACAAAATCCATTGCGGTTGCCTTTTGTCTACCATGACGACGTGCAGGTCGACCAAGAGTCAAAACCCATACCAAAACACTGGCCTGAAAGAAATAACCCATCTAAGCACCTCCTGTTCCCTTCTGCACGTATCCATCCCTCTGCCATTTTCACCAATGAAACAACGAGAATTTCCTCCTCCTCAAAAATTACTAACTCCAAAGTCTGTTACCAAAAATCTGATAAAAGGGAGAAGATTCAGTTATAACCGGAAGGTCCTTCTAACAACATCAAATCGGCGATTCCAAGTTTTTGACTCCCTTACAATTTTTAAAGATGCGTTGAGAGTGTTACGATCGATTAATAACCAACTTTTGTATAGACGATAATACCTTTTGAGAAAATATTAAAATAACAGTGAGCCTTTTACATTGTGTGTTCAGTTATTTATCCTATCAGTAAGACTTTATTGATAATGATTGGACTAGTTGTGAATTGTTTATAAAAGAACAAAAAGAGGAAGTGAATTTAGTCAGTTATTCTTTCGAGTGAAATTAATTTTATAGCTCGAAAATGTCCTTGGTTAATCATTGATCGGACACAACAGATGGTTTTATGATGTACAGATGAACGAACATTGATCTAATGTCATTTGCCAGGTCCTCTTTGATGTGACTTTTATCACAGTACTCGACTAGACTGCTTTCAGGTCACTCTGGCTGTCTTGTTGTGGGCACTCAGCCCTCAGATTAATGGGTCTTCTTCTCTGTAGTTAGGGGACAGTTTTCACGGCTTTTCCGGCGTACAGATTTATTTCTTCTATTATATAGCATACGAGTCCGCTGGCAGCTCTATTGTCCACCTGCCAGCAAGATGTGCCTGCAAGATATGTAAGATATGCTGTGTCTGAAATTTATCCAGTGCTTGACTGTCGTCTTGTGAATCTTTGATCACCTCTTACCACAGTCTAGTAGCTTTTTTGCACATATTCGAATCGCATCCGCGCTCATTATACCTCCATTATTTTTAAGATGATCTTGTTTTTGCGCTACTTGTTGTAATGCACTGGTCGAGTAATGTGGACAAGCACCCAGCAAGAGTTGGCCTCTCTCTGAGCCTTCCCTGCCATTCTTCAGGTGTATTTCATAGAAGTTCCGAGTTGCGAAATAGGTGCCTGAGTATTTAGAGGAGTCTACTTTTTATCATTTATCTGCCACTTTTCCGGTGTTTTACGTTTTCCATATTTCCTAGGAATTGTAATCTTAGTCATTGTGATGTCGATGTCCTTCCCTATTTTTCCTGGCGTATATTTTCGTTGCTTTCAACATTCCAATTAGCTGCTGCCCATGCGTCGTCTGTCATCCAGAAATATGTCCAAAATTCCAAGGCATTGTTGTCTTACTTCTTTCCACGTTTTGATCTCATTACTCAATACGTAATCGATTGTTGTACTCAGGTTCATCGCGGAGGTAAGTTCATCAATCTTACAGGTTGTTTAGTTTCCAAATCCAAATAGCCATTGCTTTTCACCATTGATAATTATACGTGCAGTGTATTTGAGGCTTCTTTCTGATTTTCTAAGTCGTTTCGTTCCGGTGATCATTATATGGTAGTCTCACCCAATGTTCCGTCAAATTTGAACTTTTCCGGACAAACGTTGTCTTTGACAGTAGACAAGTAAATGTTGAATAGTTCAGAGAAAAAATAGTGAATGACGCATATATCATTGATATGTCTTTACCTGATATTTCTTGCGCGGGGAACAGTGGGGAATGGTGTTGACTGCCTTTTCATGGTGCTCCCTGAAAACAAGTATATCAATACGGATGACAAAATTGTCATTAAGCCTGTACCAACGATATATGTTGTTGTTCACTTAGGTCTTGATATACTCCACTAAACAATCAACAACTGTATGATGGTTCATACAGACTTTATAAATGGTGTTGCATTCATGAAAGTGGATCAAAACAGTTTGTATCTATTTGAGGTTACAAGGCAAAATTTAATTATGTTTTCCGAAACTTTATAGATCATTATGTGAACATTTAATTACGAAATGGAAATGATAATTATGAAATAGTCCTTTTTTTCAATAATTTTTTAATTCGTTAATAAAAATAAAGTGGTTGAAGAAAAAGAGTCCAAAGTTATATCAAATCTCGACGTTTTACATAATCCTTCTGAGTGCGCTGAGCCGAAATTTACGAAACAGTTTTCCCCCAATTATTGAACGATTTTTGAATTTGTCAACAAAAATAGCACCGTTGAAAATAAAGATTCTCTGGAACGCTGAATGTCGACGTTTCAGGGGATTCTTAATCGTTCGAGTTTGAGTAATACATTTGCGCGACAATTTTTTAACAATCTGTCAATAAAATTTCGAATTTATGATCGTGAAATCACTTTTTATTGGCAATCGGTTGTTTCTCTATCATACTTCCACTCCTCATTATATCGGATGTTTTCTTGTTGCAGCCTTTCCATAAGCCCTCCCATAATCCCCCCTAGGATCTCTTTATTATACGCAACAGAGATTGGAGGACAGATTGCTGTACTGAAGTTAGCATAAGTTTTTCCTTCGATTTTAGGAGCCGGCGACATAATTACAAATGGTAATTACGTGCACTGAGAAAAAAATGTTCTTTAGTCAAGAATATTTATTAACCACAAGAAAATATATTTGGCATTAGTAAGTCTTATGGGAGTATTTATACAGTGATCGACAGATTTACTTGTGGGAAGAAAATATTCTTGGCAAAAATAATTTTTTTTCTCAGTGTGAGTAGGGGCACCCAGGGAAGTAAAAACTGACGCTGACTGTATTATAGGGCTTATGAAGGGCTTCAACGCAAAAAATTCGTGGCGGCGGCTACGGAACTAAGCCAGAGCTTGTACCTGTAAGTAAAAGAGGTCGCAAACGGAAAAAAATATTCAATGAAAATTACGTGCCTATTCCGTAATCTGGGAGACAAAACAGGTACGGACCAGTTACGTACTTTTTCGGTGAACTTCCTGTACTTTTTCTGGAAGGTAATGTAAAAAAGTGCGTCACTGTGCAGTAATTTTTCACTGAATACTGTGTTGACTCGCGAAAACAGGTACATAATTTTTATTGGGTACACGGAGAGAAAAATACATGACTATTCCGTGTGAGTCCGTTCAAAAATTAGTGTACTACTCACCAACTCATGGGACCAAACCGTGGTTACCAAAAAATTCGGATGTGGCGCCCCAACTTTTAAGGAAATCTCACGGCAAAGTAGCGTAAGTTCTTCAAAAATTAGGGTGCCACATCCGGATTTTTCGTGTGGGTCATTCCAATTTTTTGGTGGCCCTCTGTTTGGTCCCACGACTAGTGGATGGCACACTAATTTTTGGTAGAATTTTTTCTCAGTGTATTTCTCTCCATGCGATGACCAAAAATGAAAGAAAACACCCGATATAATGCGAAGTGGGGGTATGATAGAGAAATAACCGATTGCAGATAAAAAATCATTAAACGTTCATAAAGGTTAGAAAATCGTCGGATAAATGTATACTCAAACAATTGAGAATCGTCTGGAATGTCGAGATTTGTTGGCCACTCGGAACATTTTTTGATTTGTTTCGACTAATCTGTCGACTACACTCGTTAGATTTCTAATTATTTATTTAACAATAATAGAAAAACTAACGAGACATTTTAGGCTGAGTAGGAACGGGGACAAGCCTAGTACAAGCGATGGAATTAGTTTGATGAATGAAATACAATTATTTGACGGCTACTTGAAGAAGGATTGGGTGATGGCACAGTCACGTGACAGGGCATAAATGACAATCTCTTTTTCCATGATTTATCGATAGAATAAAGCATTCCCAAATGGGAATAGTATTTTTCACGCCTAGGACGGGAAAAGGGAATCTTACGAATGCGACTTTATAGTCCGAGTCGGAGACGAGGATTATGACGTGCATGAGTCACAATCACTTTTTTCGCCATGGCTATGATGCTATTTGCCGCAATGACATAAATAACTATATCCTTACATTTCCGAAATTCATTTGCACTGATTAGAGTTAAATTTGACTTATCTGCATTAAGGTAGTACTCCCGAATATCAAAGCCACGATTATATTTTTATGAAAATTGACACGCAGATAGACTTTAATACAAAAATAACTCAGTTAAATTTTGGGAAGCCTGGATGGGCCAGAGCAATAGTTATTAATTTTCTTATTTTTTGACAATTAACATTGAGTCTTATGACAGTTGACGATTTTTTTTAGTTTTCAAAATTCCAACGCTGAGTTTTTCATAGAATTTTTTAAGCGGAATCTAAAGGTGTTAAAGAACATTTTGCCAGTTGGAAAATTTTGATTCATCGGCTATAAATGCTGAAGTTAATTAATTAAGTGTGAAATGAATCGACGTGGCTATCACGCTATTCAGGTTAGGTGAGCTCTCATGACAGAAACATAACACACCCATAGAAACCCTTTACAAAAGCCTACAAGCCATTGAGTAACGTTGTCAAATCAAACTACCCCGCTAATCAAAGTCATCAGTACTCCAGCTTGACTCATGATGTACCGGGAATACAACCTTAATGTTGACCAAGCATATAATCTAACCTTTTCTCAATGAATTCAAATAAACTATCATTTCCTAAAATTGATCAAATTATTCCATACGTTAATTTTAGAAAGCAGTTTATTTGTTTCTCCAGTATACGGTCGTGCCGATAATTCGCAACATGAATGGAACCAATAATGACTTAAGAGTCGAATTAGGAAAAATGAGATAATAAATTCATCCAAACTTTAACTTCACGTGTTAATGATTTATTAACTTATTTTCACATACAATAGTATCATGCGTGAACGATCAAACATTGTATAAACAAAATTTACAAAATAAAGTATAAGTCTTTACAGCTACAAGCTACTAGTAGTAGTGGATCACATAGCTTCATACTTTTTAAAGTCCCGTTAAAATGCATTTACCATTTTACCGACCTCTATTTATTTATTTTTGTTTTATTCCATACTCTAGATGTTAAATTCAATATTGGATAAGGTAGCGGTTCTCCCTTCTGGCTAATTGAACTAATAACCAAGTTTAGGGGGTGGGGGTTTACCTTTTTCTTCATATTACAGCAGTATCATACATTCATTATAATTTAACGATTTTTTCATTCTGTCGCCTACGTGTAAATATAAAATTATCATCTTTTAGTTTGTTACACCACCCATAGTTGATATTCATATGTATAATTGGTTTTCAATCTGAATTCTGCAGATTTTCCACAAAAATGAAAATTTCTCTTTGTTTGTTGTCATGATTCTACGATTATTGCTAATGCCTCCACTGTAAAATGTCCACGCTACAAATTAATCAATCTTTCTGTATATTCATCATTTTATATTTATTCATCGAGGAAGAAGCTTCTTAATATGTCAAACCACCACTTAAAATTGTCTGAGATTTTCCTTAATAATTTTACTTTATTCACAATTTATTTAAATTCTTCTTTTCATTACCATTTACTTATATTATTACAAAATAATATATTTTCATGGAATATTCATTTGTGAAATCATCAGAACAATTGAAATGGTGGTTGTTGCGAATCTATTGTTTCCCAGTCGACGAAATTGGAGTTAATTAATTCCAATAAAACCAAATAGAAAAAAAAAACAGCACTGACAGATTTGATCAATGTTTCGCCCTTATAGTATGCGTCCACTTACGATTACTGTTGTAAATCAATAATATCAAATGACATTCCATTGTGATAAAACACTCTCCAATTCCGGAACATTCACTATTTTTGATGATGATTTATTATCAGTAAGTGTCATATATTCAATGAATTTCATTACTTTAAAAACACTCGCCTTTATATTCGAAGTTTTTTTTTTACTATGTTTGTTTCTCACGGTCATTATAAAATCTGCATTCTAAAAACATCGACGTTCAATCGTACAATGTCGCTATTATTAAGGCGTATTACATTCTATTTACAGTAAAGAAAAATATACATAGATGTCAGTATTACAGATTTTCATTAATTTTTTATTTAAAATTCAAGACGTTTGATTTTGGTAGGTGTCTATGAGGTAATGTACCCATTCATTTTTAATAGTTCCTCCGGTTATTTAAAGATATTTCATCACATCATGCTTACATATTTTTTTTTTATGGAAATTACTTTTCTTCGGTACTTCAGGTAGACGTGGGAAATTGAAAAATGGTTACTCAATTAATGATAACAATGTCAATTTGTTAGCAAGGCTGGCCGGATGTCACGTTATAAAACAGCATGCAGTTCTTCACCGGCGATATGTGAACGATCCGTAATAACGATAATAAATTGGTAACCAGAGTCTACAATTATGCAAATTGAGGTTCACCGGTTTATTTTACGAGCTTCAGAATATTATGCAAATTTCAAACGCAGTCAACACAATTTTTCTTTTTGATTACTTCGATTGTATATAATGTCACAACAATTATCTCATTATTTAATTATTTACATGCAGGGAGAATTAGCAAAACGATACGATTTTCCACGATGTTTTTCATTCTAATTATTTGAATAATCCTGTTGCATTTAATGCGGTGTTAAACAAATCAATATGTGTTCCAGTAAATTTTTTATTTGCTTTTTAGTTCTTTGATATTTATAGATGATTTATTGTCTGTCGTATGTTGATATAAGCCGAGATGTCCAAAGACATCATGTCTATGTGAAGAATCAGCGTAAATGCTTCAATTCGAAGTAATTCGTTAAATAGCACCATCAAAATTTTTTTAAGTGATTGTAAATGTCAATTTTTAATTAAATCTCAAGTTATCCCTCGAATTTGGTCTCCGCTTCGATCGTTTGATTAAATTCATTGATTATAGTTCTGGTTTTCCATCGATTGAAACCTGAGTCTGATGAAAATACATATGTGCTACAAAGGAATGTTAAATATTGTGCGACACAAAATGATGGGGTATATTTTAATAGAAATTGGTCGTTGATGATCGTCGTACAATCTAAAACCGGTATGACCCGTTTTTAGGCGTGTAAAAATAGTGTATTCATCTTTGTTTTTCTTTTTAATGAATTGTACTTGAAAATAATGTACTGTGGGAAGATTTACAGTTACAACGCTGGCAAGACTCGGGCGGTTGAACATAGCCTTTTCCATATTTTTATAGTAACAAAACGACAATTTCCATTGCTATCAATTAACAATGCATAAATTGGCTAATTTATTCACCAATTGTATAATCAAAAAGATGCTTAGTCCTCCTCTACCACCTGTAGCTCACTTTTCTTTCAATTTCATTGATTTATTATTATAAAATCGTTATTTCTCATTGAACTGACCGCTCAAGCTTTGAAGGAGTAGAAAACTATTCCTTTGTGACAGGAACGATTAATTTTGAATTCAACTCCATTAATTTTGATAATTCATTCAGTTAAGGCGCTCAAATAAATCCCTTTCTGACGTTTTGAAACCTGCAAGTGTATTTATAGCATATTTTTCCTCAACTAAAAACAACTGTCTGCGGTTTTCCAATTAATTCTACCATATATCTGAATTTAGTTTGTTCTTTAAGGATAAAATCTGACGAAAATCTGACATTGAAATAGATGAAAAGACAAAATAATCACAAATGCCACAGGAAAGAATTCTCGAGAATAAAAGTATTACCCTTATATCAACCTATAAAAAAGATTTTCCATCGTCTTTGGAACTAATTGTATTCGCCGGATGATTATGCTGAATCATTATTTTAAAAAAACCTGCAATTTAAGACATCAGATATATCAGGACCTCTTTCTTCACTGGAAAATTTGGGAAAATGCAATTCAGGCCGATTATCTCTCTAAAACGATGAAATATTTCGCTCTGAAGTCACACTGCACTGATTTTATGTTTGTAAATTGTTTTAATAGATAAAACATTTTTTCAATCATGAGAGGAACCTCCAAGATGTCGAATGTCTACATAAAATTGGTCAAAATTTTGAGATACTAAAGGAAGTCTAATATCACTGTTTCTTTTTCATTCTCGTTAATTCAACATCATTTATAATCGATATCATACAGTCGTTTAATGTTGCATGTATACAATTACATGTTTATTTATATATACAAATACTTAACCCCCACCCTTTCTCTTCAGCATATTTACTTCTCCCATTCGGTTTTACGTTCTTCTCTTATTAATGAGTATTTTATTCCATTGTGGAAAACGGAATTGTCTCCTTTACAATAATTAGGCATTAAATATGTACACATTCACTCGCATTTCCACTGAAATGCTCCTTTTCCATGTAGGATTTGTTTTTACACTATAATAATCATTATGTTTCTTTTTTTTTTTTCATGTATCAGAAATTTTGGGGGATGAGAACGTCAGCGGCTACTCTTTTGAGTCGTTTTTAGTGAATCGACTGCAGTCAACTTCTTGGACGTTCTTTTAGGCTCTGCTTTAGCCTTCGAGTCAGAGGTGCACACTGATTTTGATGATTTAAGGGCTGATGTCACCTCCTGATTCCTGGGCATTGGCTGATTACTGGCATTATCCAACTCTGCCATTGCTTCTTGAATTGCATTTTCCAGTTGCATATTCAGTTTACGATTTCTACAGAGGGAATTCAAATCTTAAAGTCAAGTTGCCATTGTGAGAGTAAATGTAATTAACGATTAGAGAATCAATTGTTCTGGAAATGCACAATCCAATTGTATTTTTCCAGACACATGGAAATATGATAATTTATCTAAGAATTGAGGGCGAGAAAAGTTTTTTGAGATTAAATGCCTCAGCAGATTGCGACCAAATTTATAATTCTGTTTGCATTTTTTGTCTGAACTATTGAATTCTAACAGCGGATCATTTTCTAGCTCTCGTTCGGACCTACTAGACAGTTGGTGGAAAAATATTCCTCCATGAGTCAACAAAATTTTATCTCTCCTCTACCGATTTCATTAAAAAAGCTAGACATTGACAACAGAATCCCTTAATGAAGAGCAACAGAGACAGAAGCGCTAAGGACAACTTGAAAATAAACAGAAAAATAATAAAAGCGCATGACAAAAAATCATTGAGCGTCCTATAGACTTCAAGTGGTTAGTTGCAGTATTGAATAATTTGAGATTAATAACGTTTCTGCAATAATAATAAACGAGATGAGGAATTGAATTAAAACATCAAACCACAAATAGTAAATTTGTAAATTGTAAATTGTGTTCTGTGAAATAGAATTTCTTAAGGATAAATTATGATAATTATAATTATAATTAGAGAGTGTATTTTTCGGTGATTATTCGTCAAATGAAAAATGTCATCCCAGTCGGGTATGCGACTCACTTCCTAAATCTTTTTCTCGCTCGATGATGGGCCTCAAGACCGTCAGATAGGGACTTGAGATTCTTGATATCTACCTGGGTGAGACCGCCCCCGACCCCGTACCAACGTACCCAGACTGTCGAGGTGCTTTGGGGCCCAAGTGATTCGACTTTGCCTGGCCAAGCAGGACTTCCCAGTGCCGCACCCCAAACGAGCTCACCAACTTCGAGTTTCCAATTTCCGCTATCTCCCTGAGCCTCGGATACTAGTTTGCCAAATAAATTAATAATTTAGCCTCATTTCCGTGAAAATTATAGTGAGACTCGGATTAATATTCTTTGATGAGTTGATGAATTATTGAGAAAAAGTGACTTTCGCGATTTAATCAACCCAAAACCACGTGATTATTGTTAGAAATTCTTCCCTCCGGTGATCTGAATGGAATCCAAGCCGCTGGTGCTGCAATTGCCCATTCAGATGATAGCAAGGTTTTTTTTAAATAAATTCATTTGGGAGAGTGCCGGCTAATATGGACATGTTTTCATTTGAATTTGGTAGTAACAATTAAGACTGATGAATCTCTTTCTAGGATGACAGAATGACTACCGAAAATCACAAGCACCTTCTTGAAAATCATTCAATGATTATCAGATTATTTAAAGCCGTAATTAATTGAGTATAAAAAAATATCGTTGAAACACAACCAATTTGAATTTCAAGCCATTCGATTCAATTTATTCGATTCTATTTATGTTTATTTAAACATAGGAAAATTTGAAATTGAAAATATCACGATTTTTAATCGGTGTCCATATAACCCCAGCATCCCCTATATTTAAAAAATGGATGAATTATGTCTATTCGTCATGCATTCTTTATGGATGTATGCAATTGGCTTGCGATAAATTCATATTTTATATTTTTTAAATGGGCGGTGATGAATTTGTTGTGTTTTAAATTGAAATTAATTTTTTTTTATTAACGCCATCTCCTCGAACGAGAATTGATGAATGCATTTTCTGTGCGTCAAGCTCAACGCGAAAAAGCAACCAGAATTTCACTTCCGGTTTCAAACAAAAATAAAGTCTTCAGTCCATAAAGACAATGTCCTTCTCCGCCAAATCTTGCATGCGAAAAATACATGAATTGTATGTACAATGTTCCTCATGTTGAATTAATTATGATGTAAAAAATAATGGATTAAAAATGTGAGCCACACCCCGACGGAAATGAATTTCAATCAACTGAAGTGAATTACCCGTCAATCATCTCGTCAGTTACACCGATGATGCCCTGTTAAATTATCTCCATTGATCGTGTCACACCACATGACGTACAATTGGAAAAATGTCGATTCAAATTAAACTGACTAACGATTATGCTTTATTAAACTTTCAGAAGCGGCGCTGATGAATGAAGAATGAAAATGCTTTTTTTAGTGCTGTACTTACCGAACTCGATAAATTTATCGATCGATGAGAAACAATTCCGTTTGCAAATTACTTCTCAGGCGAAGGACTTTGATAATCATTTCGTGTCCTCATCAGAAGCTATTAAGCGCGTGGGTGGTTTATGAGGGAATAATGTAGAAATGTTCACATTACCCATTGAAATTAGTTACAATGAAGCATCGAGCAGGAGCATTTATGCAAATGAAAACAAGGAATGACGCATGCCAGTACCGCATGCAAAGAAATAGTAATGATTATAAATATATTTTTCAATGGACATTGATTGAATGAGCAATTACGATTCCATCAATTCAATGTCTCCATCATTAGAAAATATTGTGTTCAATTTTTCAATCAATCAATCAACCTCCAATTAGTTAAGAGAAAATAGAAAGCATTATTATTTCGAAGGAATGAACAAGTAAAATAGTCGAATAATTTGGACGAAGTTTAGATTTGAAAGGACCGATGCTCGCTATTTCTCCAGTGTTAATAAAACCCACAGGTACACCAAATGTTCGTTAAAGTGACAATTGAGTTTAACGACTATGCTATACTGGTACGGATACTGACCATCGTGGTCTTCATGCAGAGTTGAATGCATTGAGTGAATGGAGTCCAGTTTTCGTTTGATTCCACGTCCAATATGATCTCTGCCCTCGCACCTCATCGTACTCACGACACCATCAGTTTGCTTCAATGTCTCTGTTGTATAAATCTGTTGGATAATCAACACTTTGTCAAACCTACATAACACTAATTTCTACCATACGCATGCCGATTGTGTGTAAAGGAAAAAGATTCATTTGCATTTCGTGACAAACTCGAGATTAGCCTCGATGAAATGTACTGACTGATGATTTCAAATGAAATAATCAAGTCTTTAAACGATTTGGAATCTGTAAAATTATTATGAACGAGCGTAAACTTGAGATAAATGAAGGAAAGACCGGAAATCATGCAGTAGATGCACTTGGCATCTTAGAATGGAAAGAAAGTAAATAAATGTTTGTTGATAATGTGTTGGAATATGTAAGGAGAAAAGTTGCATAAGCATATGATCGGAATAGTTTCTCGATGCAATGGACTGCTTCACTTCCAAAGAAACTCATGACGGTAGTATTGATTCCTTGAGACATGCAAAGGTCAAACGCAAACGTTCTTTAACACATGCTCATTATTAAGGTGATTTTCGAAAAATTGCCAATTGTTATTCTTTGAGCATGAATTTATTGTTAATCGTCTTTATATATCATAAAAAAAATCAACGGACGATTCCTGAATCCTTCCGTTAATTACAGAATTACATTATTGCAATGTATCAATGAGAAATCTTTAAATAATGCAAAATCCTCCAATTGTGAATAATGTACTCGCTAAGAATAAACAAAGTGTTAAAATAATTAATATTAACCAATTATAAACTTAATAATACATCTAAAAATTATTCATTTCAATTATAAAGATAGTTTAAAAACCTTATAAACAATATAAGCGAAAGATCTCGGTGCAAATAGTCTCGAGTATAATTCAAATTTACAAGAATTGAAATTGATTTGAGAACTAAAAACAATTCGTGAATCTAATCATCATCGCCAAACGAATCGTCACTCTCATCGTCCGACTGATTCACGTAAATAAATTGATTATTAACAAATTGATTAACAAACGGATTACTCATTGGATAATTAACGACATTAGTGCCACTGTTACTTCTACAACCATATAAATGTGGGTAGAGTCTAGTTGATAATGGAAAGTTGAAAACTTTCTGATTACCAACAGCTGACGATAAGTACACTCCTTCGTTCCGAGTTAGCAACGACTTTTCATCCAACTTTTCAGATCCATCATTTCTGAATTTGTACGACTGTGGCTGCTGTAAGCCAAAATTTGAAACTTGTTCGTCACGAGATGAAGTTAGCCTATCGTTTGAAATAAGTGTATAATCAGAATTATCTGGCACAATGCTGTGATGATTATAATGATTTTCACCGGCGTAGTTATTAATGACTGATGAAGAATGCCCACTGTATTTCCGTGATTTGTCAATAATGTCTAGTGCATTGACTACGCAACTTTGTGATGAGGTGTCCATGTGCTCCTGTGATTCGTATATGTTTTCAGGGAGTGTAGTATCGGCTTGCTGGTGCATATCTACTAGGGTTAGATGGTAGGTACTTGGTTTGACGTGGGTACCAACCTGTATCCCAGTTGTGACAGTCGATTCGACGTAAGTTTTTCCATTCAGACCAGGCTGATTCAGGGTTATTTCCTTGGTGATCCCCTGGATTCGCCAGTCATCTGTTATCCCTTGAATATCACCTGAGTCTGGCTCGCTACTGGAGATGCAGTGGACCATTGGCTACAATAAATCATTTTCCTTTAGTACTCTAATTTTATTTAACACCCGACCTTCTCCAGATCTACTGATTTTTTTTCAATAGAATCCGCAGACTCTTTGAGGTTTTCGTGTGATAATATGGATGATATCAATTACGGCTACTCAACTATATTGAAAATCGGGAATTAAGATTAAATGAAGGACCACCTCCTCACGAAATGTCGGTAATTAGATCTCATTGAGGAATAACAATCGGGAGAACCCAATGACTCAAAAATAAAATAACCTTTTCTGCCTACATGCGCCGAAAGTGAGCATTCTAACCGAACGAAGTGAGTATGTAGCCAGAAAAATCGTATTTAACCCTCGGGAGGAAACACAGACAAGCATTCCCCACGTGCTTAATAATTTTGCTTGGTAATTTTGCACGTGGGGAGGACTTGTCTACTTTTCCTCTCTAGGGAGAAATATACTATTTCTTCACTGCACATTGCACACTATACAGCCCATCAGATGTCAAGATGGCGCCCGAATTCTGCTCGGGGAATAATCACGAATTATCAATTCTAGAAATATAACACACTCAAAGCCTAATTACCGATATGTAAAACATTCTGATGAAAATTATCACGCTGAAATGTAGGGAATTCTGAGGACTAGTGATAAAGATATATCGAAATATTTCATACAATAATATTCCGAAAAATAATATATCCGACAAAAATATTCCAAAAAAATGTGGAACCAATAAATAATGAAAAAAATCGAAGATATTCATAAATCTAGAAATCAACAATTACACAAAAAAAAGCATGATCAGATTGGAAGATTATGAGCAACGCTACATGGATAATGCAAATTACTCATTTTAAACAATTTTGTTACAGCTTTGATCAAATGGTCATTACAACCCACATATTTACGCTTTTACATCGGTTTCGTTAAATTATACATTGAGAGCCGAAAGTGAAAGATTTTGTATGAGATATTACGGCATAAGATATTTTTGCATGCTATATTTTACATGAGATATTTATATCATGAGATATTATTGTCGGGGATACTTTTACGAGAGATCTGACGACCGGTCACCATTCTGGTATTCTGAGGAAAAAAATCTGTAGGTCTTGCGAAGACCGACCCTTAATGAGCATTTGCCGCTTACGTAGGGTTGTTAGGGTTCTGCTAATTATGACGAAACTCTTATGAACTTACTGTCGATGAAGAATAATGCCTAGCACTGATGGGAGGTGCAGGCGAAGCAGCTCCATGTGTAGTAGTATCCACAGCAGGACTATTTGACCGCTGACTATTACCCGGACTGTGGGTCGTGGTGTCCGGTGGTGAGCCTTGCCTCATCAACGCCGACTGGCCCATATTGACTTGATTCCCAGCTGTTTGCGTTGACACTGAATGCCTAAACATGAAAGTGCTAAATTTTCCACTCTGTCGTATTTTGTTAACATTACCACTATTCCCACCACCCGAAGTACTATTTAATACGAACTGTTGTTGCGCTTGTTGATCGACACTCTGTTCTGACGATGGTGAGCAAATAGTGCTCTTGGGTGAAGTTGGTGATTTTCCCTGGATCATTCCAGCGCTGAGAATGTACGACTGATTGTGATCGAGACTCAGGGATTGATCGACATTTCCATTGCTCGTCGCGACAGTCTGAAAATCTGGGATCTGATTATTCGACACCATTGTCGTCTGTTGTTGCACAATCGTTGTATTCTGTTGAACAAACGTGGTGTTTTGCTGGTTCGATGCAGAAGAGACCGCTAAATTCGGGGCAGTAGCGCAGGGAACCATGAGTGTCTGTCCATTCATCTGAATGAATTCTTGTTGACCCTGGATATTAGTCGGCCTCACTTGAGATGTGTTGAAGGTCACCTGTTGATTTGGACTGACATTTGCTACAATCGGGCTCAACTGATTCCCAAAGGAAGTTGTACCATTTACGAGAAATTGCCCACTGTTTGGAGAAAGAAACTGAGCCCCTGGACTGTGCTGCTGAATTATCTTGCCAGCCCCTGCCTGTGGCGCTCTGATCACCATTCCCGCTGGTCCTGCTGCCAAGATACTCTGGCTGGGACTGAAGATATTCGAGTGGTTCTGCACCGGTGTTAAAACATTTTGTCCATTGACATTCTGAATCTGTAGCTGCATTCCCAAATTTCCAGTATCTTGTAGAAGAGTTGCAGTACCATCAGCCGACATCACCATACTTCCCAAACCTGGTACAATGAACTGTTGAATTGTTGGGAAGTTTTGGACCATCCCAGTAGCACCATTCAGCAGATTAACTGGTTGGAGAAGATTAATCTGCTGCGCGGGTTGTGGATTTGTGATAATTTGTTGGGTGTTGAACTGCGATGTTGCTCCGGCCTGTCCATTCATTACTAGTTGTGCAGGTGCTCCACCCTTTCCAGGTACTATCGTCAACGCCTGGAGCATTGGACCCCCAATGCTCTGCGTCTGGAAGTTCTGTTGTGCAAAGTTCGATTGTGACTGCATGAGCATTCCAGTATTGTGCTGGGACGAGGCAATATGTAACATCGAAGCCACTGTCTGCGTACTGCTTTTCCGTTTCTTATAAACTTTTTTCTTGTTCATACCAGTTTCTGGCGATAATAATGCAGGCTGTCTGTTCACAATGCTATTGGTACTTACTGTTCTCGTCACATCCTGATTCGCCTCGATAATTGATTGTGCATTCTGGAGAACATTACCAGTGGCAACTGTTAAATGAGGTATTTGAACATTCTGTCCAATCCCATCCATAGTCATAACACTTGGTTGAATGAGCACAGGCGTTTGAATGGTATTGACAAGAACAGTGGGTTGACCGATCACCTGTTGCGCTACACCAACAGCGGGTATAACTTGGCTGACAGCACCAGTAACACTCGTCACCATCGGTGATACTGACAATGGAGGCATTGAACTGGCGTTTGAAATGATCTTAGGAGGGGGTGGAGCCATGACTCCACTAATTCCTGTCCCAGTACTCGCCATTATCAATTGACCACCACTGGATACTAAGATATGACCCGGAGGGAGGGTCGATGCTACTGAATGCTTCAACATTCCCGTTGATGTTAAAACATTATGAACTTGAACGTTAGATTGCTGTTGTTGTTGTTGTTGTTGTTGTTGTTGCTGCTGTTGCTGCTGTTGTTGTTGATGTTGATGGTGTTGCTGTTGCTGTTGTTGCTGCTGCTGCTGTTGTTGTTGCTGTTGCTGTTGTTGCTGCTGCTGCTGATGCTGCTGCTGCTGTTGTTGCTGCTGCTGCTGTTGTTGTTGTTGCTGCTGTTGCTGCTGCTGCTGGTGGTGTTGCTGTTGCTGCTGCTGCTGCTGCTGCTGCTGCTGCTGTTGTTGTAGTAGTAGTTGTTGATGTTGTTGTTGTTGTTGTTGCTGCTGCTGTTGCTGCTGCTGATGTTGCTGAGTCTGATGATGCGGCACAATTGAATTTGCACTCGCCTGAGGTACCTGAATACTACTCACAACACTCTGTACCATTTCTAATGGAGACTTCGATATTATCGTACTGTGCGAATGTCCATGATTGATTGGTATCGAATTTGTTGAATGTACAAGAGCTGACGTCACGATGCTCGTTGACGTTGTATGCTGGTGTATGGGTTTAGTTGATAGAATATTCGGAATCGCTGAGTTGGGAATACCCGAGGGCGTATTGATTGACACAGTTGCTGTATTAGCTTTACCAGCTAATACCGAGGTTATTGTATTAGAGCTGAATGTGTGACCACTGGCCATTGTTGTGATTACGGTTGAATTACTGAAGGGGATCATTGGCAAACGCACAGAGGTAATGGTATGGGGATGGGGCTGATAGCCCTCGGGTGTTTGTTGTCGTGGTGTGGATTTCTTTGACAATGGGGGTGAACCATTTTCGGGGGGGATTCCCCTTTGGGGTGAAGTACTCGGGGATAATGTGCTCGATGCTGAAGTTATCGATTGAGGCTGTTCCTGACTTGGATTGGCTGAAGACTGAGATGGCGGTTGGCTGACTGGTGTCAAAGATTGTGAAGGTACTTGATTTGAATGAGGTGTTGGGGGTTGGGAGTAACTGTGAGGGGTGGATGGTTGCGATGAAATGAGACTCTGAGGTGTTGCAGGTTGGGAGATACCAGTGGCTGACGAGGATGGAGTATCAGAATTTGCTGGGCTATTTGTGCCAATTGGTGATCCATGACTTGTGCTTATGGTTCCACCTTGAATCGGTCTTGAGTCCATCTGTTGGTTCGTTGTGAATCTTTCGTTGAAGGTGGACGACGTCACTGGGTCTGGATCCGTATGCAGCATGTACTGACGATGCATCTGCTGTTTAAACTGCTCTGTCACGTACTGAGTATCACCACTCGTCACACAACCCTGACAGGAATTAGTGTCCGAATCACTTGTATTACTTCCAACTGATGTTGGGGTCATACTGCTGTGAACTACTACAGGCGATGTTGCGTGGTTCTTCACCGAGTTAACTGAGGAACTTGTGGGACTTGTTGCTGAGGAAGGCTTCTGCTGTGGAAGATAACTCGATGGATTTGTTGAGTGGCTCCCTTGTGGTAGTTTTGGAGTGCTCATCATCATCTGCGAACTGCTGACCCCGGTTTGTCTGGATATCGTGCTATTGAGCAGAGCTGTCTGTTGAGCGAGGTAACCACTAGGGTCCTCCAGGAAGCTTGGCGAATTGCTGACTGTTGATCCAATCTGATTATTCGATTGAGATTTATCAAAGTCGTCCCTAGGACTGAGACTCGATTGTTCAACATTGTTATTTCTAATTTCTGCCATATGGTGTCTCTGTTTCTTGGTCAAGGATTTGCTGGATTTAGCCTTCTTCCTAGCCACTTCGTCGGTCCAAGTTGGAGTTGGAGGAATGTGATGGTGAAGTGGAGGTACTCGATCCATACTGTTGCACGTAATATTCTGGACTGATACTGGAGGTGACTGGTGGGAAGGCTGAATGGTACGATTCTGCGGCCACATTTGTGCTCGTTGATTAAAGTGAACATTGCTAGATTGCCCTGAAGGTACATTAGTTCCCATGGGTGATTGAACTTCGATAACATTGCCACTCGTTGGACTTCGTCCAGCCTGACTCACCAGCATGTACTGCTGATGTCCCTTGATTTCCATATTCGTCCCTTTCGATTGATCACAGCTTCTCGGGAACTGCACCTGGTGCTGACCATACATTCTCTGCATATTATCATGAGCGATATTCTGCAGGTTTCCATTCTGCATGTGATGTCTCTGCATCCCATGATTATGCATCAACAACTGCTGCTGAGATATCTGCTGAGACATTTGCTTGGCACTGATATCCTCCTCACCTATACTAGGCGTTCGATTATGCCTAATTTGGGATTCCCCTGAATTTATACCCGTCATTATCGATCCATTCGACTGTACAATATCATGATGACTCATACCCGAGTTATTGTACTGCTGCTGCTGATGCTGAAGTTGCATATGAAACTGATCATGCGTTTGATTCTGCATAATGTGCTGATTATTCTGCTGATGCTGCATCGAGTGCTGATGAAACTGGTGCATCTGCGAGTGCAACGCTCCCTGTCCCGAATTCTGATTCTGCATATGATGAACAAAATTATCATTCCCATGATGATTATTGTAATTTGTTATTTGCTGCTGACTAGTGTCCTGGGAATTGTGCTGGTGCTGCACATTGTGCTTCTGCATCTGTTGCAGATGAATCTGTTGATTCATGTGCTGCTGCTGCTGCATCGAATGGACAGACTGATCATTCATCTGATTAACGTAATGAGAATTCTGTTGATGATTCAACTGATTCGATATGACGTTCTGATGATGCTGTTCCTGTTGCTGCTGCTGCTGCTGCTGTTGCTGCTGTTGCTGCTGCTGTTGCTGCTGTTGCTGCTGCTGTTGCTGCTGTTGCTGCTGCTGTTGCTGCTGTTGCTGCTGCTGCTGCTGCTGTTGTTGTTGCTGCTGCTGTTGCTGTTGCTGTTGCTGTTCATGTAGAATCTGCATCTGTTGCATCTGCTGATTATGAATGGATTGTCCTTGATTCTGCTGCTGATACTGCGATATGTGCTGCTGCATGAGTTGCTGCTGCTGCGCCTGTTGTTGCTGCTGCTGCAGTATCAATTGCTGCTGCTGTTGACTCATGTTGTTAAAATTTGTGCCCTGTTGATTCATTATCAATGGATTACCCATCAGCATACTTGTCATATTGTGTTGATTCAGCCTCTGTTGGTTATTCCTCACTGCACAACTATTCAAGTCAAGATTCGCGGGGGAGTTCAATGATTGATGGCCGATCTGTTGGCTAGTCTGCTGAATCGGCAGAGCGGTTATTGGCCACACCTAAAAAAATTGATTTATCAGTGTTCCCTCTTCTGATAATGACGGAGAGCAATGCGTCTTTTAATCGATGCAGATAATTTTTTTGTCGACAGACATACCTGCGAACCGTTGTTCGATGGTAAACTCTGAACCCCCGTTGCGCCCCCCACAGCAATAGCTCGTTCCCTCTGTGCAAGAAGTTGTGACACCGATACACCCGAGTATATGTTTCCCACGCCACTCAACTTCCTCTTCTTCTTTTTACTCAAGCCATCTGAAAAAAACAAAAAAAAGCAAAATTAGTGATCCGATTAATTAAACGACGATTGACAATTGAAATAATGAATTATTCGTGCTACGGTAAATTCAAGGTACATAATGATCCGTTGGGAATAGCATTCTCATTAGTATTCATGAATGGCTGAAGATCCTTCATTGTAATTTAGTTTACACATAAACTCGAGAATAATCGAAATTCCGAGGTGAGGAAGGGGATAGCAGTTGTGAGAGTCCTGAGGAAAATCACATTTCCCATCCCCTCTATTGGTAGGAGCAACCCCTTTGTCACTAGCGTTCAAACAATCCCTTGAGATTAATTAAACCTCCAATGCACTGGAAATTTCGAGACTACCGTAATTGAGTGACAAAACAATTAGGAAAATTAAGGAACAATATTCGAGGGGAGATTTACGATACGATGATCCCAATAGCACATTGAAGATAGTGTCAATAACTTTGATGAATAATTAGGATTATCGGTGAATAAAGTGCTCAATTAAAAAAAGGGCAAGACGAGTGAGTCTGTTATCCGCATGCCTACCACCGCCGATAATTATTCTTTCGTGAGAAGGAATGATAAGCCGTGAAGAGGGGCCTCAGTGAAGGTAATGAATCTCGTTTCAACAGCGCACGTCCTCGCCTTTCTACTAACGCAATTCACCGCGATAACTCCCCGGGGGTGGTAAAATGACTCTGCGGGCATGGAGATTTCCGCTTGAATATCGCAGAGGGAGAAAGGGTCAATTTGTGGCTGATGCACAATGCGTATCCGTCGGACCCAACCCCGAGATATTCCAAATGCAATAGCTCCAGCAAATGTCGATGAAAGTTTCCAATTTAACATCCGATTTCGCCCTGAAATTCTCCATTCATCCACAATACAAACAACTTAATCACTGCGTTATCCCTCACAATTAAAATTCACTGGTTGCTAAGAAAATAACAAATCGTTCAGACACAAATACAAGCTCCAATGATAAAGCAATCAATCAATTACGGATTATTGGTGTAATTCAGTGGTGACGGGTTATCAATATCAATAATCAGTATCATGAGGATGGTGAAGACAGGTGTTAACCTGATGATACAGTCGTTGAGACTGAACAAAGTCAAGTACAAGAGCGCAGGCGCTTGTAATGTGGGTATCATGAAGGCGCGCGCAGTTAGAAGTGGAATCAGAACAAAGTAGAGGTACACCGTGGTGGTGGGTTTTACGTCCGAGTATCGTCCATCCCCTAGGAGTGAACGATCTTGCTATAACCCACCACCATCCCTCAAATGCCCCTCTCCACTACGTTAGTCCCTATTGGTTGAAAACTCCTTCTACACTGTGTTACGCCGTTGTACACTCCACTTAATATAAAGATTCAACGCCACTCTCCTTCCCCAACCAAATTAACCCTTATCGTCGGGTTTCGCGTACGAGACTGGTCAACCCTCACACGATCATTCGCCCGTTACCATCAATATTTGTTCTTTTCAGAGGAGGGGATATTTACCAACCCCTCGCTAAAAATATCAATCACGCCAAACCCTAATATACCAATAATATACCAATTATAAGGGACAAAATGGAACGTCAATGGAACGTCAACACCTCAGCAACCGCAGAGTGAAAGTCAACCATTTTGTTCTTCATTTTGAACTTCTCTTTTTGAATATTGAAATGAAAAAAAAAACATTCAATTTCACTCAAATGATTGAAGACCTCGATTTTTTAATAGAATATTTTTCATTACACATAAAGCAGTAAATAAGCAACAGCTAAAGGTCAATTATCCGATCCCCTACGACATCCCCTCTCCATTTACCCCAATTACACTACATCAATCTCATTAGTATAGCATTAATCGCAAATAATTGATGCATGATTACCTAAATCGGTAGCACTCGACTGATAACTCAATCCCCGGTAAACAATAGCCTTCACCGAGGCTGAACCCCCGAGGAAACGAAAAAGCCCGGAAAATTGATGAACACCCGGGTGAATAAAAATTCCCGTTACATCCCGGAACAAGTAGAGTTTCATGTCAATTGAAATTCTCAATTGCGCAGTCGCACATTGGAAAAAGGAGAGCCCGAGGGACAGAGGGGAATAAACGCGCAGAAAGCCACCGGCGCAGGAATCAAAACCGGACAAAGAATGGGAAAATGGAACAACCCACTCCAATCCACCCCCTCCTCCCCATCTCCCTCACCCCTCCCCCTGTGCTAAATTTCATCCTAAACTCAAACCACTTCATGAGCCTCAATAGTTCTCATATTCTCGTACAAAATTAACCTCTATCAGCTGTTCGTTGCTGGAGAGCCGTTTTCCCACTGAGCTCTGCCATTAAATCCACCCTCTTCCCCCTCGCCCCCCCCCCCCCCCCCACTTGGTGCTCATTGCCCCTCAAACCCCCGATTTTACCACCACAAACTGAGAGTGACGCGCTGGCACTCACTAGTGTTTCAGGAATTCCTTCTCTACCTCCCGGGACTTATTGATCGCTTGGGTGCGATAAGAAGACACGAGCTGGCTGATTGGTCTCCTCTCTTCAAACCGGCAAGTTGTGCGCAGAGTAGCAGAATGGGACAGTGAATTTTTTTTTTTTTAAACCAGAGGTAGGAGGGAAGATTGAAGAGGAGAGAGAGGACAGGAAGGAAAAGTGCAACGGCTTTTCTGACTAGAAGTGCCCACCGTAAAATCCCAAGCCCCAAAGGCTATCCCCAGCGTTGAAAGTTGAGTATACTCCAGCGGCTTGAGCTTTTCTACCCCCTTTTTCCCCTTTTTTCCCTCTTTTCAACCCGCAGCTTCAAGGAGGACGCAGAATAGAGCGAGAATAAACGGACAATCGACAAAGGAGATCCGATAACGAGGGCAGCTTCATGGATTCATTCTTCCCTGAATGATGATAAAAAAAAAGGCCCATGATAAGATGACACTCTTTCATCTTTGCGATAATATCAATAAGATTATACCCTTGAGTATTTAAAAATTACACTAAAAAAAAATTACAAGACAAAATTCTACAGATTAAAATCTCACAACACAAAATATCACGAATAAAACTTCAAAAAATACTGCAGCCTCAAATAAGAAAATTAATCACTTGCCCATTCCTTTCCTTCTTTTGATTTACAAGTCAAAACCCGTAAACGCACACACACACACACAAATGTAAATATGTGTAAATTTTAATATTGCACAAACGCCTATACTAGTCCCACCGCTAAATGAATAGTAAAAATAATAAAATATAATACCACAATTATTTCCAGGAAATTTCCATAACATTAATAACATTTTGTCTTATAATATTTTGAAATAATATTTGGTTTATCAATATTAAATGATGGTACCATCAATTCTGATTGGGGAGAATGGTGAATTTAATGATTAATCCAGTATGAAGGGTTTTTATTGAAGGGTTGAGCGCGAGTGATTGAATTTGAAGAGTTTGGGAGAATTTCAGGAGAATGTTTTGACGTAATGAATGTAAAGGGTTTTTTTTTGCAGAACAACTGGAAAGTTGGAGGAGTTTTTTTTTCTGGAAAGGTACCTTTGTTTCAAATCCTAAAATGCCAGAATTTGCTTCACCACAGCTTTCACAGCGGTTGGTGTGCCAACTGTAGCCATAAAAAGCACATAAACCGCTTTCCATAGCCGTATGCTTTTATTTTAGTCCGGTGGTGCTCGTGGAGAGTTGAAGGGGTTAAAAGCACCGAGAGGATGGAAAAAAAAAAACCATGCACATTTTGCCGGTGTCAATTCTTTTTTTCTCTTCCACTTTTTTTAAAAAACCTATATGGTTGTACGCGGTTCGGCTGGTTTTTATATCGTTGGAAAATTGGAATTGAACCGGTGGAGTACAGAGTTCACTCCTCCAATCCCTCCAGTGGGAGGGGCCATGACAAAGTTGAAACGGGACCATAAAACACCATAAACACTGTCGCTCTGTCGAGCGTAACACGAAACAAAGCTGACGTTAAAAGTGAGAACCTGGGGTGCGTATATTTTAACAAACCCACCGACAATATTGCGAGGGAATCGATAAAAGTCGCACATGCGGGGGTTTTAGGGGGGTGTAATTAAAAAGTTGTAACGGCCGCTGATAAATCTCTCGGAGAAGTTTTTTTTCTGGGATTTTAACGATCGGAATGATGAAAATATAGAGGGCTAGGGGGTGGCTAATCGACTCTCTACAAGAGGGGCTGTTTGTTTGGACGGGTAATTTCCAGACATTTCTGGGTTTTTTTTCCGGTTTGTGGGCATTTCCACATCAAGTGCGTATGAATAAATAAATATTACGTATTTTTGTTTATTTTTTAGCAAAATTGGTGGATCCATTTTAAACAATATCGCTCTTTTGCGCGCTTCAATAATTTTTCCTCTTTTTTTTCATTAGTTTTTAATGTCCATTCAAGTGCTTCCCGCCACACAAATTTGATCTCATTTTATTTTTTTTTATTTTAGGCTAAAAAGATAAAATTTAAACAAAAGATGACGTCCAATAGATGGTCCATTCGTGTCTTAAGATTGATTTCATTTTTGTATACATTGACTTGATTTTTCATTGATCTTTTTCATTCTTGAATTGAGAATTTTTATTGATTTTCACCCGTTTATTTAAAAAGTCACTCTTAAGAGGTTAAAAATTGATCCAAGAATGATCAAATTGTTAGCAATAATCAAGTAACGACGAACTTCAGTCAGGTATATACAGGCTTGATCTATTTTCAGTGTAACAATTTTAAAAATGAATGTTAAATTTCACACCATTGAAAATTCCAATGAAAGACTAAAATTCTGAGAAATATCTCCTGGTGTGTTGAGTAACGTCGGAAAAAAAAAACACGTGGAATCACCGATTCTCGGTCGAGCTGTCACCCCCCATTCCAACGTTTAATTAGCGAAAACATTCAATTGAATTATTCTACTTAATTACGCAATAAGAGAGATATCCCCTGGAACGAAGCCCACGGATTCCAGTTTCCAGTTTATTTATCTCCCAG